TTTCCAATATTTGACTTACAATGTCTCGCTAACCATTTGTCGGGCGGAAGAATAGTACTAGACCTTTTTACTCTATTTGGTTTTAAAAATATATTGTTACCATAGTACCCTAACTGTTGTTAACTAATCGACCATTGGAAATTTCAAAATTATCAAATTAATAAAAGTCAAGGCGTTGTTATAACGTACCATTTTTTCTTCTGACAAATAGTTAGCGAGATATCGTAAGTTAAATATTGAAAAAATTATCAAATTTTCCTTAAATATCTCAAAAAAATATCAGGCAGATAAAAAATGTTTCAGACAAAAGTTGTTAAAATTAATTGGTAGAAAAAGATAATATAATAAAAAATTTGAATTTTCATTTAAGAAAAGAAATAATCAGTGAATATCTGTAAAAAAATTATATAGTTGTTTTATATCACTTTTGAGACCATACAACTTTTGTCTGAAACGTTTCTTAATATCTTTCACATTTTTCAAAATTTTTGCCTGGCTCATTTAAAACTCTGTGTGGGACATCCTGTATTGATTTGCCACTTACTGAGTATATTAGATGCGTGCAAAAAAAGTCTCTTCTTAGTCTTGCCCTCTAATGTAATTATTTTTAATTGAAATATATCATAAACGTTGTTTAGCGTAAGGTTTTTGTGTAAGGTTAATATTAAACATTCTAAAACGCCATTCATTGGCCGCGCTCAGCAGAAAAAGCGCTTACTAAGCGCTTAGTGATTATTATCTACGATTCGAGTATTCCTTTAGATCTTTGGCAGATCCAGGAGAACGAAACCAATTAGGAACGATAATCACTAAGCGCTTACTAAACAGCTTCTTCTGCTGAAATTCTTCTGCGGCCATTATAATTTATTGCACAAAATCTTAAAAATAGCAGTTGATGGAATAAACAACGAGAAACTTTATATTCGACACTGCATTCGATATAAATTTCAGCAAGGAAAAGATGCTGCTAAAGCGCGCGAATGAATCCATTTGCTCTGTTCTTGGGGAAAATATTGTGTGTGCCACAATACGTGCAAATATTGCTTTCGTCGCTTTAAAAGTGGCGATTGGACGTGAGCGATTATCCGCGCTCTGGAACGCCACGAAAGTTTGAGGCCGACATTTTGCAAGCGTTGTTGAATGAAAACCCATTCGCAAACGCAAGTAGAACTTGCAGAACAGCTCGGAGTTGACCAAGCAACAGTTTCAAGGTGACTACATGAAATGGAAGAAATTCAGAAGCTCGGAAAATGGATACCGCATAAATAATCGCCGATTATTCACCGATTGAATACGCTTTTCATTGCATTTCATTGCTTTTCAGATTTTTTGTCGAAAATTGTTACTGGTGATGAAAAGTCGATTATGTATGATAATCCGAAACGCAGATATTTGTAGGTGGAACCCCGGACAATCTTCTACATTAGTAGCAAGAAAGTTCTTTTGTGTACTTTGAAGGATGCGAAAGGTTATGTGCGCCGATGAGTCATAACTGAACGGAGCGAACGGATTCAGAAAGTTCAGTGTCAACCTTACGGAAGCACAAAACGGCGGGAAAATATTTCAATTTAAGGTATAAGTAATTACAATTAGAGAGCTGAAGAAAAGACTAAATCTTTTGCATGCACCTAATACTTGAAGTCGCAGTTATTCAAGACACACACACACACACATGCACACGAGCTCTCCGAAATTAATCCTCCTGCTACCAGAGTTCGGCAAGTAACATCAACACGTACGCCCGGATATTGCGGAATTAGCGTGCGCACATTTCGGTTTTGTAGGGTTTAGCCCCTTCGGGGCTACAGAGTGGAACAATCTCTAACTTGGCATGACGATCGCACGATTATCGTCCTCGACATCTTTCCTCCCGTTGACCGGTCGATGTTCGCCGTGTTTCGTTGACCGTTTTCTCTTCGCAGGTCATTTAGAGGCCTCGAGATTATCCTCGTTGTTCGATCAATTGCCGAGATCCACGCTGGAAGTAATCTCCGTGATAGATCTCGATAGAACTTAAGCCACTCTTAAGCCGTAGTTAACGGTTACTCGAGCAGTCAACAGTGAAATCTGTTTCTCTTTTTCTTCTTTTCTTTTTTTCTTTTTCCGGCTGTGTGCCCTCCGCGTTTATTTACTTGCCATTTCTGTTCCCGCTGAGTCAGTCAGATGTATCGATCGTTAGAAGCAGGTGTTGCGCGGCATTTTAAGAAACGATTCTTCGCGGGTGAATATATATATATATATATTTTACACGCGCGTATAATTTAGCGTCACACGGTTCTTAGCCATGTTGTATTATATTCGTCGTACCTTCGTATTTGCCCGCCGACAAGACGCGACACGGGTAACGTGTGTTAATTTCTGGGTCCATTTTTTACACTACCGATACTTGCGAGTCGACAGATACTTACGAGCCAGGGAAACGATTTATACGTTGTAGGATTAACTCAGTTCGTGTGGCTTAGGTAATACATGATCTCAGCTCACTGTCTCTCTCTGCGCCGAGGAGCAGTGTCGCGGTCCAAAATGTGACGGAGGTGCGTTTATCGGCCGATAACTATACCCGAAGACACGATCGAAGCTAAAAGAAGGAACAAAGGGGAATTATTCCTGAACAATTTCGTCTTGGCAATCGAGCGAAGTTGAGAACGATGAGAAAAAGGTATTATCCGCTAAGATGACGCTTAATTGAAGAAATTGAGGATCGGTCTCGGTAATAGTGCGAATAGCGAGCGGCTGATTACTGAAAATGTTAAATTGTTGATGTAATTGATAATTCGTTGACAAATCCTGCGAGATTCATGAGGAACGCGTGGCTGAGCGAAGGAAATGAGAAGGCGTCGAGCTTACGACGAGAACCAGCAACGAGACATCCATTTTCGCAGAGACGATCGAGAGAATGCGGCGATGGAACCATTAAGTATAATATAACACTACTAAACATTTTAAATAAATATATCGTGAAGTATATTATTGTACGCATTTTTTAAACACGAATTTCTTGGGACGTATTAAATTGAAAAAAAATATGGGATGCTATTACGCTAAATATCTTAAATCCACCATATCTAAAGTGTCACGAGGAATTATTAAATATTTTCAATCGAAAAGCAAGACGGAGATATTGCTCGGGTTACAACCTGAGAAAACATCAGGATAAAAACTCGACGCTGCCTTAAGTTCTTATTACAAATTACTTGTTTCTTTCGATCGCCGATTGGCCTTTAGAATAAAATATCGCTAATCGATAACAGTAGTTGTGTTTATAATATATGTTATATATTATTGTATTATATGATAGCAGTATGCTACAATGATACTGATAATGATAAACTTTCGTAAGGAAAAGCATTGGCAGTTATTCTCTGAAAACAAATTAATGTGTTGTGAATCATTATAAATTAATTGTATGGTTCTTGTTACATATTACAATCGGTTATCATGAACCGACAAGAAATTTCTATACTTCGTAGGAACGGCAAAATGGCTTGAGAGAATTGAGTTTGACACGATGTTTCCTAAAACATTTATAAATTGAATTATTTGTGTTGTGTTGTGCAAAATCTACGTGTATCTTTTAATTGTGAGCTGATCAGCAGCTGTGGCTGCTGAGGACAACTTTATTTCTTATGCTAATTTTAAGTGTGACTGCGTAGAGAAGCGACGCATACGCGATATATTTACGCGTACGCTTAAAGCTGCGGTGAATTATACCGCAGCTTTAAGCCAAAATCAAAGTTTCGTCCGTTGCTGGATAAGGATTGGCTCGTGCGTGTAAAATGCGAGAAGGAGTCGCGGCCGGTTAAGAATCAATTAATTGTAATTGACAAGAAAGTGCAAAATATACAGACATTAAATGTTATTTACACCAAACGCATGTTCATTGGACACACGACGACAACCGTCCCGATATAACGACCGATAAATCAATACTTCTGCCTTTCCGTTTCGAAAGGCAGACACACAGAGAGAGAGAGAGAGAGAGAGAGAGAGAGAGAGAGAGAGAGAGGTCTGGTTACTTCACACGCTTCGTACAAATCTCAAATCCACACCGAGCTCTTGTGCAAAAAGAAGCAAAGTCCCTTTTCGTATTACGCTCGGGAGTTGGACAGAGCGTTAATTGCTTCCGAAACAATTGGCCCTCATTTGTTGCGTCGCAGCTTTTGTACATGGCAAAGTTACCAATTGTTTTCTGGAAAGAGTCGATTGGCGTCGAAGCGACAGCATTGTGCCAGGAAACAATAGCGTCACTCACGCGACGCGCAACGATGCAGCTTCTTAACTTATAAAAGTGCTAAACGCTTGGTCGTTTCGATCGATCCCCGTTATGTTTCTCTCCGTTGCCATTTGCGGAGTATTAAATAATGTCAATCTTTATTGAAAGTTGCCAACGTATTTCGTTCGGTGCTATTAATTTTGAGCTATTCTTGTATGTCTAAACCATCATTCAAGTCTTCTGGTTTCTCGAGTATATTTTTTCTCGGATATATTATTTTGCATATTTATTATATTATTTTTGCCAAGTTACTAGGTACTCGAGTAATTAGTGCAAGTGGTATCTCCACGAAATGAAAGAAAAAAACGAAAAGAATAATCATGAATCCATCATCCGCTGAGAAAGTTCAGAATTGATACGAAAGGGTTGAAATTAAAGTTGAATATAATTGAGTAATTCGGACAATTACTGCATAGCCCGTGTTAAAGGAATTTTTCATAGAAATGAACAATTCGATAGGAATTTATACGACCACGTGATACGATTGGTATCATGATTTATCACACCGTTCATGTTTCTGAATTGATCTCGATAAATAGGAAAGCGGCTGATATCGACATCGACAGTTATCACGTCGGTATGTTTAATTGTCGCTTTATCATTAAAGAGTTTTTCGTGTCGTGTATTTAATGCACACGATTCGACGATAACATCATGGCTTTGATCTCCATTCGCCGCCCTCGGGATCTAATCATAAATCACAATTACACAGAATGAAGCTGTATATGTCCCTTTTGGCTGTTCGGCACATTGTTTCGTATCGGAACTATCGCGTGACGATTATTCGAGCCGTGTTATCGCTGTTTCCGCATACTACCCTCCATAGACTTCAGGAGCGATTCCATCGATTCTCGTGTGCGCCATTAGTTTTTGTTAAGCAAATCGTTCCTGTCGTTCAAATGCAAGGGATGCGGTAAATTTAATGTGATTAGCGCGTCAGATATAACCGCGTATTATTTTTTTTATGGGCTCATGGTGGGCTAATGTATCGATTAACGGCACTAGCCGCTAATAATTAAGATAATTTGGGGTCAATTGCGCGACTAGTGCAACATTATCCCGATACAGGTGGGGGGGGAATTTATTTCCACGTGCTTCTAATGGACGAACGATCGATCATCAACGCGGAGAAAATGTTATGAATTTATGGATAACGCGAAGGGAGAAGAATTCAATCGCGATGTTAAATCTCTCGAGTCGATTAATTTTCACTGTCTTTCACGAAGGCATTAAAACGCAGCGATAAAAACAAAATATACCGCGCTGTCGCATTCGCTGTCGAATTTCAGTCGCACTATACAGGGTGTCCCGTATATCCTGACCATTGCGAAATAAGTATTTGTAGTGTTTTGATGTCACGAGAAAGTGTCAGAGGAACGAGTTGTGCTATTTTCAATGAACATTTATGACTTTTCAATTTTATAATCTTTCTAATTTTTTAATCTTCCTAGATTTCTGAAGCTTTCAGTTTCTCGTTTTCCTCGAACATGTGTGTTTCCCACATCAAGAAACATCATCATCGTATCAATTATATTGTTACATCATAAATCATATTGTTATAAGTTATAAGAAATCCATTCGATGCCGAAGATCGTCCAAACCAGAAATGTACGATTCCACAAAGAAAAAAAAAAAAAAGATTTTGACCTCGAGAAAAAATGTTTGCGTCATCGTAATTACTCGCTTTAAACAGCGCAACTTTTTCTCCAGACATCTTTTCTCCTGTCATCAAGCACAAGAGAAATATTTCAGCTGGTCAAGATATGCGAAACACCCTGTATATAAACGTCAACTGCGTTACGTTGCAACAATTACGACGGAATATGCGATACCGTTTGTTATTACGTCTTCGGAGAGAATCAGCGAAAACGAATAAACACACAGATACGATGTTTTTACACAGCCAGAGAGAGAGAGAGAGAGAGAGAGAGAGAGAGATAACCGGCGAATTAACCCCTGACGTTTCGCCGCGATTAAATTGTCTCGTTATTTTCTGTTGAATTTTTATGGCGCAGAGACGTAATGCGGTGTACGCAACAAACGTGCGGAATGACGAACGCCGTCGAGCTGCCTGATAATAACAATCTTCACGAGATGAACGTATTATCGCGACGCTTTAATAATATTTCCTATTTGCGTTGCTATTAATACTCTTATTATTGTTACAAATTGCATCGATCCGGAATAAATGAAATAAGGTGCACGGTAAACAGCAAACAAAAGTGAAATATCAGGACGAGTAAAATAATTACGATAGTATAAACTCTGTGATAAAAGAAAAAAGAAAAACAATAATTTCCTTTTCTCTGGAACGAGAACGCTCCATATCCCGAGGGTATAAGATATAGTTTCGAATTTCGAAGTTTAAGCATCCCTACTCTAAATTACAACGGTCCCGAGAGCGGCAGGCGGGGCTGGAACGCTGATAACACAATTATCACACGTTGGTGTTGGCTGTTCACAATTTTCAGCGCCCCATTTTTCTCGCCGACCCCGAAGAGGCGACGTCTAGAATCGACGGTAGCGGGAGTGCTAAAAAAACATTCAGATCTATTTTGAATCGCGAGCAGGGGGGTGTAGAAAGCGACCATCACCGAGGCAGGTTCGAGTGGTCTAGATTCGGTCAGAAAATCGTCGTTCCAGGTGAGTCCTTCCCGGGAGAAATGGACGTCGTGACCTGAATCGCAGATACCAGAATTTTGATACCAGATTTACATTCCGTCGTCAGCATTTTCATCGCCGCGCGAATCACCGCGGCAGCTCTTTATTGATCATTTCTGGTTCTTCATTATCGAGAATTTTGTTCTCAACGCAACAGCAGATAAACTTGCGGAGCAGAACGCATGAGGGTATCTACCAGACTTAACGTACAATGTTAGTTGTAACACGCTACGTCGCACTGATAAGCGCCCTGCTGCTTTTTACAACTGCGGTGGATGGCGCGCTCGCGCGCAAGGAATGGTGGAAAACCACATTAGTTTATCAGATCTGGCCCAGAGGGTTTCAAGATAGCGACGGTGACGGTGAGGGTGATTTGAAGGGTGAGTTTCGGTGACAAAGCAGTCGTAACGTCACGAATGGAAAATTCCAGTCGAGTCGAACATCCTCAATGCGCACGCAAGTAAACATGAACTTATTCCGAACTCGTTTGCAGGTATCGCTATTAGGCTCGATTACATCGAGGACCTCAAAGTCCAGACGATTTGCTTAAGTCCCATTTACCCGTCGCCACTGATCGACTCGGGATACGATATCTCCAATTACACGGATGTACATCCTCTCTTTGGCGATTTGGATGACTTTGATGTCTTAGTACGAGAGTCACACAATCGAGGTTCAATACTTATAATAATACATATTAATACATTTAATACATATATTAATAAGTGTTTATACGGCTGAATATATCTGACGTCCTCAAACTCTCGAAGTAAACTCTCGACAAACGTTCTCACGAATAATTTGACATTGATAATCTTACACTTAACGTTGCGGCTGTTTCCAGGACTAAAAGTCATTCTGGACATTGTCCCGAATCATTCCAGCGATCAGCACGAATGGTTCCAACTGTCGGCGCGAAATGTGGAACCATACTCCGACTATTACATCTGGGCTAATGGAGACACCGATGATGACGGCAACAATATCCCGCCGACTAACTGGGTATGTTATCTTTCTCCCAATTTTCCCGTCGTATTGTTTGATAATATAACGAACAAATTTCATCTAGTATATATAATAAAGCGCAATCTTTCCCGTTCTAACGAGCGATGCTGAACTTACAAACATTTAATATGAAAAATAATCTTTATTATTTTTATATATAGTTGAGTACATATAGCGACAAAGATGGATCCGCATGGACGTGGCACGATGGAAGGCGACAATGGTACTACCATAAGTTTCACAGTTCCCAGCCGGATCTGAATTTGAGAAACGAAAGAGTCATCGAGGAACTAATGGTAGTGCAGTAGAACACATTTATAAATAACAAAGCAACGAAAAATTTACTTATATTTCTGTCGATCTAAAATAATTCGAGCTAAATTTCATTGAGAGGAATTTGAGAGAAGAGAGACGTAAGCTTGTAATTTTTTTAGATGACGACACCGACAACTAAGAGCGACAACCTCCTCCTGTCCTTCGTTAAACAGCTCTTACTTAATTTTAATAATAATTTTTTGTACATAGAATATCTTCGACTTTTGGCTGAAGAGAAACGTCGACGGCTTTCGGATCAACGCAGTGCCGTATTTCTTCGAGGATGAGTACCTGAGAGACGAACCTGCCGCAGGAAAGGGTGCTCACACCTTTGGTCTTTCTGAAAGCACCGCTCTCCTTTATAGATTTCGCGAACATATTAATAACTGGTCGACGAATAACGGCACATGGAAGTATGCGATTGACGCTTTCGGAGAAATGCGCATTAAAATAATATTTTTCCTTACAGTTTCTGGCGTCACTCGGTTATATTATAACTTGGTTATTACAACAATTTGATTATTTATCAATATCGATGTGACATAATTGGCATTGCAGATTCTTAATCGCGGAGTCGTACGATTCTGATGCCAACTTAATAACGTATTACGGCAATGACACGCACGAAGGGATTGCACCGTTCAACTACAAATTCATCACGCATGTTCGCAACAACAGCGATGCCAATCACATAAAGAACATCTTGGATTCGTGGCTCAATCTTCTCCCGCGGAACACCAGCACCAATTGGGTGGTAAGAACGTAACAATGTCGAATGCCTGATTACGCGCGACTCCGCGTCCGTTGATCGCCTTATTCCTTATAAATTCAGCTTTCAAATCACGACAACTCGAGAGCAGCTTCGAGGATCGGTCTCAACCGAGTGGACGGACTCCACATGCTCAGTCTTCTCTTGCCGGGCCAAGCGTATACGTACTATGGCGAAGAGATAGCCATGCTGGACGCGAAAGTACCCTGGAACAGAACCATCGATCCTATGGGTTGCTTCAGGGGTGAAAAGGAATTCGAGCGTTTCTCGAGGGATCCGGCAAGGACGCCCATGCAGTGGAATTCCGCGAAGTCGGCTGGTTTTACGATGAACGATACAACCTATCTTCCTGTACATCCTAATTACATCTACAGAAACGTGGAAGCGCAGCTGGCAGCCAAGAGGAGCAATCTGCTAACGTACAAGAGGCTGGCTACCCTGAGGAAGTTGCCGATCTTCGTCAATGGGGATTACGAATTTGCCACTTTGAATAATAAGCGCGTATTGGTGTTGAAAAGGTCAGTAACGAAGACCATAAGATAATAAGATAGGGAAAATAAGGTAGAGAGATTGTGTGAAAAGGGGGAAGAGAGTCGGTGTTGTACATGTCGGTGTGTGTGCTTAATTATAATCTCTATTTGATGACTAGATCCTTGGAAAATTATCCGGCATATATTGTCGTAATTAATCTGGGTATACGACAAGAGAGAGTTAACCTAACTTCGATATATCCCGATTTGAATGCCGTCCTACGCACCGTTGTGGAGTCCAGCAACGCGCTTCACGTCACGTACGTCACGTCCGTCTGTCTGCTCTTAATGCTTCAGAACAGGTTGGAACATTCCGTAAGTAGTCGTCTTGTGTTTCCAGAATTACCGTACCGAGGGACAACTTCATATTAACAGCAAATGCTGCGCTTGTATTGAGCGACGATGAAAAGAAAGAGACGTCTGAACCAGCTACTAGCAGCACGCGTGCGTATTCATCAAGTGCAATCATCGGAGCAGTTTCACCGGCGTATCAGTAACACATTAATCAGTAACATTATTTATTATCAATCGTATTTCAGCCACTTCCAACGTATCCGACGAAGACCCCAGTACGATCAAGTCGACCGTTACCACCGAAGGCGCGATCTCTTCGTCCGACGATACTGCAAAGAAAAAAACTTCGACGTCGTCATCAGACCACGTGACCCCGAAGACGGGATCAGGCACAACAAAGAAGCCTAACGATGCAGCGCTGTATCACCCGTCTGTGCTGAATGTAATGATAAACCTCGCGATATCTGTGATAGGCATCACGCAAATTTTGGCAGTAACGTAGGAGATAAGTATTCGTACAATAAAAATCAGACAGCGGTGAGACTACGATTACACCTCGCTTAATTAATTTCGCACTTGTCGCTCGAGATACGCGTAGTATCAACATAAAAACCCGAAGTCGACCGATTTCGAAGCGAGTTGCTTTCAGTTTTCGACCTTGACCCTTTGCTGCATAATAGTCCTCTCAGAGTGCTACCTGTCATCCAAGCTTGTTTCTCCAATAATTTAAATTTTTCACATGTTTCTTTAGCATATTTGGTATTATTGAACTAGTAAAATGTTCCTCTGACTAATACGATCGACCTTTAGAGTAATTTCAAATGAGCAGGGATGCAACGATAAATCGATAATATCGGAATATCGAGAGGCAAATGTCGAATATTTATCGATATTCTTTTATCTCCGATAAAATCGATAAATCAATATGAATTTTATTGATATTTCGTATTTTTTACCTAGTTACAGCTCCGGGGGCCTATTATTACGGTTCCACGACCGAGATGAAAATTACAAAAGTGAATTCACTAGAATATATATTATATAATTGGTCGATGTCTAGTAAATTCGCTCACTTTTATCATTTTCACCTCGAAGGAGATCTATTACGGTTCGTTGAACCGTAATAGATCTCCTGCGCTCCATGTATACGCTGATCTCCGGCAAACGCGACTGCGGTTTATTATATATTTTCTAATAAGAATATGACAATAAATTATACGAAGATAAAAATTTTTAAAAGATTTTTTTAAATTTTTCGTGTATACTCTTCATATGCATACGCCTATATGTATACATTTTTTTTATATAGATGTCGATATAAATATCGATATTTTTCAAAATTATCGATATTTTCGTTATTGATGATTCTGAATGACGATAATATCGTTATCGATATTTTGAGAAGTCGTTGCATCCCTACAAATAAGCAATTTGTTATTAATAAGCATATACTGAACAAAACTGTCGTTTTTAAAGAATAAATTCGTTTACATGAAATTGTAAGTAATAACTTAAGTAATATACTTCAAAATCATTATCTGGGAGTTTTTGGGCTCGCTGAATACGAATTCGATGTGAAAAATACAAAATTCAAAATGGCGGATCTTATATGGCGAACATAATTATCGAGACAATTATAGAAATGAATCGCTAAAGCTGACTGCGCTTGAAAACCGAGCAACCCGACCGGTGTGAACCGAACCTTGCCGTATACATATATCCGTCACAGCGCTCTGGCATTTTGAATTTTCGATTTGAATGAATTTGTAATTAGCAACCCTTTGAAAACCCTTAAATAACGAATTTCAAGCGAATTCGGCAGATTTTAAAAATCTCGTCCGCCACATTGGCTCCGCCAGTTCGAATTTCGTATTTTTCACACTGGATTCGTATTCAGCGAACACCCTGAAGAAACCTCTGAGTGACAAGATTCACAAAATTATATTCATAAAAAGAAAACGTGCAACCAAGGGTCAAGTAACGTAGAGTGTATCGCGGAAGGCGATGCTACAAAAATAGCGGGCGATGTTTCATCTGCAACATTGATGAGAGTATGTATGTCTAATGGCTTCGGTATTAATAGGGACATCATTAGAGAATTAAAGCGCCAAGTGCGGCTTAATTAAAATCTTTGCTATTGTCATTCACGACACCCTCGGCGGATTAAGACTCCTCGCGGAAGAGATTACTCGTACTGGTTCGACGTATCCCGGCATAAACACCGGCGGCGGCTCTCGAAAGGGTTAAGAGGATTTTCTAATGTCAATAATAGCGGAACAGAGACTGCTTTAAATAGTGACTCACGTCGAGCTAAGAAAAACGCTACCAGATGTCCACGGAGGCCACTTGGGATCACCAGGTGCGCATACCAGCGTACGAGTTTGTAATAATAGCGAGATCTACGCAGCGGCCGCTCTGCCGGCGCGATCTATTCGCCGTGACAGCGTCAACCGGTCGCGACACTCGGATCGTGATTGTGTGTACGAAATCGAGAAACCGACGAGCGAGACTCGTCGATTCTCCCTCTTCAGTGCGAAGCGCGCCACAGTGAGTTTGCTCGAGAACGTCGGTTGAAACGTCGATCCGTACTTTGTGCAATTATCTGTGGTCTTCCATGTGGTTCGCTGTTGAAGATAACGTATCTTCCCTTGACGATGGAACCGAGGAGAACGTCGTCGTGCAACATTGAAGTTGACCCTGTTTCAATGTGACCCGCTCCGACGCTCGCGCGTTCGCGCTATCGGTGCGTTTCTTCAATTAACGAGAGCGGGCCCGGCGAGAGAGAGAGAGAGAGAGAGAGACAGCGATGATCACACGTAGCGCGAAGTTAATCGGTACTTTGCTTATGAGTCTCGTATGCGTGCGCGTGCATTATCTTCCGTCTGTGCCGCTATAAAAACGACGATAGGCTCGTAAATATTGGGGACGCAAGAATGTGGACATTTAATTGAGATCGCTGAGACGTTCCTCGCTAAATTATCGTATTATTGCGGACGTCGGAAAGGAGGACACGTCAAGATGAAACTGCAGGAAAAGATTGTCTTCGCTCAGGAGAAACCGCTCTACGACGCCATACCTCTGATCATTTTCGACAACGCGGAGAGGAAAAGTTCCAAAGGTTTGTGGCGTTTAATATTTTGTTCGGAAACTTTAACTTGTTCGGTAAAAATAACACAAGTAGCTGCGATTTCTTTACGAAAAAAAATACATACATATATATATATATATATATATATATACACGTATATTAATATATTTGTTAACAACTCTGATGTATACAGAGACGAAGAATGAGATTGAAACATTAAAGGTGAAATGTTATTGTTTTAGTTAAAGAGGGAGACCCGAGGTACAATGTCGCAAGTCCAATTTGCATGACATTTCGCTTGCTGATATTCTGGATTTTGTGGGCTACATTGATAGCGGCGATGGTAATCACCGTCTCCGCGCACTTCTGGTTCACGGCTCGACATTCCTATCGTTTAGATACACACGAGAATGCGAATGTAACGAGCAGGTAAATATCTGCGATTAAAACTCGTCGTTTATTTTCTCATTGTAAAAAGATATGAGGTTCTGTAGGATCGCCAGATTTTATCGTGCAACGTGTCGACGTTTGTGAGAAGTTGAATTTAGCGCGTTATGTTTCAACAAACACATTGCTCCATAAAGTGAATCGCAGTGAAACGCCCGAATGTATGTGAGATCCGTTAATTATATTTATTTATTAACATCCGCGCGTACTTTAAAACTGACATTAAAATTATTAATAATAAAAAAGAAGGAATATATAATATATTGATATATATATAAGCAGGGCATGCGTTCTGTTATCAATGAGATCGATGATTGTGTGTATGTGTGTGCGCGTGAGTGTGTGTCTCGTATTAGTTTTAATAAAATTATTAGAAAATACAGAGTGATAGCAAGTGATAGTAGAGTGATAGGCCCTATCGGTAATGTGCAATTTCATGAGTTTTAAGTATTTTAAAATTTTTAATCGGGTGAGTGTAAAAGTTTTGATGAACCTCGTGATAGAAAAATGAAGTAAATAACTTCATTAAGAATAATTTATTATCTCTCATTCTGTCAAGTAATCAATAATAGAATGAGAGAGCAATTGCCTTCTATTATCTTCGTATTGTGCATCTACACATCTACAAACACTGCTACAAAAACTGTAACCTTGCGCTCACCCAATATTAATGTTACACAAAGAAGTTAACCGCTTCAAATGGTATTTTTATTTTTTCTCAAATTCTAGAAAATAAAAGATTAATTCCTTAGTGATGAATTAAGATGGAAATGTTGATTGTGTGGTCGGTATTCATTATTGATATGACTTTTTCTATTGGTATAATTACAATTATAATTACAGTCATAATTACAATTATTAATATTCCTGTTAATAAAATAATAAGTATTCTATTAGAATTATAAGAACAATAAATATGTATAAGATAGAGTAATATTTTACAACAAATTTTATATTTATCTGCGTTTAAATTATTTATGTATGATAAAAGAATTAAAATTGTTTTTTTCTTTTTTACATGGGTACATCTACATCGATCGTTGGGAAACTTTCATCATGAGTGCAATGTTTTGTACAATTACAACTAGTATTCTACTTAACATTTTACCTCTTCCACTCTAAATTGCTATCGATATCTCAGTAACCGGATATTCGAGCGTCATCCGCGCGAATTATTCGAATTTGCCATATTTCCGAATGAATTATGAACATCACACGATTAATACATATACCATTTTTGAAAAATAAAGAAACCAAATCAATTCGTACAAAGTTAACTGCTGCAAAAAAGTCAAATGGTGGATATTCGCGATTGTTGGTTTTGAACGACCGACTATTCGAAAACTACTCATTTTATACTGACAATACGAAATCGATAATTCAACTTGGAAAGATGCAACGATGAACTCCGGAACTTCACAATTTAAACATCTTGTTTAGTAATCGATTGCGATTTCTTTAAGGTGGACTGCGCGTCTCGATTCGACTTGCCCTGAGTCAGCGTTGTCGAGCTCAACATAACGGAAATCTGTTCCGGCAACGGACACGCGATCAACTGGAGGTCTTCCGCGTTGTAATACTTGGTCAACACTTGATGCAACTGCGTAAAAGCGGCGCAAATGTTGTTCTTCACCGGTTTAAACAGAATGAACTCGGTTTCCTTGTTAGCCAGGTACAGCTGCATCGACTGCTGTATTTCGGGACACTTGAACTTGATTATCCTCAAGACATCCGCTACTATGGTCGCCACTTCCTGCGCACTTCCGAGTGCGTCTTCCTGGCCTGAATTCGCGTTGTACAACTTGTCCTTCTCCAGTAACTTAATGACAGGGTAAATCAGCAGGTAAGTCGCGTGCTGTATCAACCGCTGGCACGTAAATTTCAACTTCGCGTCTACGTGCTTCCTCGAGTCGATGAGCTGCTCCTTCATCTGAGGCGCGCCTTCCAAGAGAAACTGCAGTAACGCGTTATTCGACAAGGTGAACAGCCGGGAGCTCTTCTCCAGCAGCCCGAACGCAGCTGTCTTCACTTTAGAGAAGTCCAAGCTGTACTCCTTGATGGTGAAGTCAACTTGGAAGGGAGCAATCTGCTCGCGGAGAATCAACAAGTGTTTGATCTGGAACAATTCCGCGTCCAAGGTGCTCGCTCTCTTCTCGATCTCCTGTCTGGCGTTTTCTATGCTCTGGACGCAGAGAGAAATGGCCTCCTGACTCAACGACTGGAACACCGATCTGTCCACGCAACGGTAGAGCCTCGATAGGCACACTAGAGTCCTGCGGACCGTAGGATACCACATGCCGTGCAAGTCCGCCGGGGAATTGCCCATGTGTGTCTTTTGGTAGATGGAATCAATGACTATATGATTGCGGGAGACCGGTTCCAGGGCGGAGCTGTCAGTGGACGACACCGAGATCTTCTTCATGCGAGTCTGGCGAGTCTCCTCCCTGATCGATTCGGCGATGTCTTCCATCATCTTCAGCTTCTCCGGGTACGCCAAGTCACCCGCCGACGGGTTGTAATTCAATACGTCGGACTGCAGATATAGGTGAGCACGGAACACCAGTCTCTCCTGAACGTCGTGCAGCAGCTGTAAGCAAATGTTGCCGAAGCCTTCCAACGGCTCGAAATTGTTCTGCACGTGCTCGTCCAACATCTCTATCCGTAGGATACAGCAGATCTCCGCCAACGTCTCGAGATGGTTGATGTGTATTATGAAGGGTCTCAGAGCGTCGTACAGAGAGGTGCACAGGCTCTCCAGATACGCGGTCAATCCGCTCGACTGTTTGGAAAAAAACTCGTAGAACAGCCGGTGTTCGTCTATCGACGCGTGCAAAAGCAGCGCACACGAGTGCCGCACCAGACTGCAGTGGTCGCCATTGTATTTTTCTCTTACCGAGTTCAGGGACTTTTGTATGCTCGCGCCTAACACCAAGCCTCGCTGACTCCAGTAGTGCTGATGGCATTCGAGCAATAAACTGTCATATTCTTGCCTCTTGTACGACTTGGCCTCAATTTGCTCGATAACTGGCTTGGTCTTGGACAAGATCGTCTGAAATCTGCCGTAGAACAAAGCTAAGGCCGCGTCTGCGTTCTCTGGTGTACCCTCGCTGTCTTTCAGGTTCAAGATGCTCTCTGTGGTCTTGGAGAACAGATTAAAAATATAATTCTGTATCAAGGCGATCGCCTTCGATTGGCAATGTCTGTATCGTATGAGGTAAACGCCACTTTCATTGTACGACGAATTGTTCTGCATGAAATTTATGTTTGTGTCGATCTTGTCTAATATATTGAAGAACATTTCACTGTTGATCGACAAGGTGGGGGCATCCAGCTTCTCCGTGATTACGTCGATCTCCTTGAAGTACCTGACGTATTCCGTGATGCTGTCGATTGTTGCATTCAGCTGCTTTTGGTCGGAGATTAGCTGCTCACTGGCCTCGTACAGAGAGGTAGTCTTGCCAGATACCTCGGTATACTGTTTGTACAACATGGAGAAGTCATTCAGTGCCTCCTCTATCTGAGAACAAACCTCCTCGCACTCAGTTCTCCTCGACTTCAGCTCGTTGAGATACAAATTGTACTTCATGTCATACGTGGACACGTACTTCCTCTCCAAAGACAAGTAATGTTGAAGTAACTCTTGATACCTCTCTACAGGAAGGGCATCCTTCTGCGAGTCTTGCTGCACCTTCTCATCATCGCTATTAATTAAATTAGTTTGCGGATTCCATGATGGGTAATACGAAGTAATGATGGTTTCTAAATTTGACAGGCTATCTTTCTGACATTCTGTCAACGGGGCCAGCGGGTCATCACACTGATCCCATTGATTGAGGTTACGTGAAATCGTCTTCGGTTTAGACATGATTACCTTTGCAAAAGAGACATCCAGATGTCAACAGAACCGCATGCACAATGTCTACGATATTCACCGGTCAAAACATTGTCTGAAGTTAAATGTAGACGCACGTATCCGGTACATCGGTAAAAATCAGAGGACAAGAACAGCAGAAAATGATGAGTACGACACGTTGACACTGTCAACACAATTTAGCGCTACGTTGCTCCTAACCTGTACTACTAACTTTGGATAAAGATGGACTATGACCGACCAATCTGTTGGTCTGTTCTTTTTAGCTGCACTACTGAACTGGTGCAATAAGTTAAAGTGAGAAAAATTTAGTTGTCTCATTCTAACTTATTGCACTAGTTCCGTAGTGCAGCTGAAAAGAACAGACTATAGATGTCTCATTCTATTTCTGTTAAATCAGAGAGGAACGTGAGAGCGGCCAACACGGCGTTTACGATGACACCGACTTTCCGCCGACTGGGAAAGGGCGCCATCTGCATCCATTTCTAGAGGGGAACTACGATGCTACATCCACTTTCAGGTTTCGGCGGTAAAACCTGCATGTGGTGGCAGTCCTACATTCACTTTCAGGCGGTTTGTGTCTGTGCTACAATCATAATAGCGTACTTGACAAGCACGGTCTCGCACATTGTTACGCGTTTATATAACACTAGAACACTAGAAGCGCGCGCCATTTTAGTTTATTCATGTTAAAGTTTAGAATAAATATTATAAATCATAAAAATAATTCCTGTAGTGTAATATAAGTTTAATAATATCCGACTCCAACATATGATGTAACGCAGAGCTGGAAAACTTTACGAGACGTATTATTATTCAGAGGACAAAGGTTATCCGCGTATGTCACTTTCCCCATACTTATCCATAAAAATCGATCGTAATGCGGATTACGAAACAGCCGCGGGAGCAGCTGGGGAAGAAAAATCCATGCGGTTTTTACGACCTCACCGACAGAGCAGGCTCTGATTTCTTCTTGTCTTTATCACCGGCGAAAGAAGCGTCTATTTTAAAGAGCGATCATAAAATGCGCGACTACTTTGTCACGCTTATATCGTCAACTCCCGCCCTTCAATCTCTCACCCTCGATAGAGTCTCAACGCACGATCAAGCGCGAGTTATGAAGATTCCGTTTCCGCGAAGAAACTAGTCGGGGGACGTTCGCAGCCGCGCTGGAATTTAACGCTCGCGTTCGCAAGGGCCTAACATTCTACTCGCGAAGGGACGCCATCGGCCCTCTTTTCACAACGGTGCGCGGGTGTTTAACTCCTTTCTTCCTTATTATCCGCGACAACGATACCGCGACGAGGCCCTAACGAGGCAAGTTCACTTATAATCAGCGTTTGTGTCAAGAGCGTATCTCGGGAATATTCCGCTCGAGGGGTTAGTCCGCGATAGAAAGTTTCCTGCGACCGGAGGCTGCTGTGGTTTAAAGTTAAATTGCAGCAAGAGCATTGTTATCGGGCAGCCCTGAGACGGGCTGCTGTCATCCGTCCGTGACGTCTGCCGCGCGCCTTTGCGATTATCGGCAAATTCAGTTTTCTCGATTGTTCGCGCGATTTCAAGCGGCCATAATATATGGCGATAATACATGGCAATATGTGGCAATAATATATGGCAACAATATACGGCAACAATATATGGCAACAATATATGGCAATAATATATGGCCGTAATATATGGCAATAATTCGTGGAATATATTTGTCGTTACAAAAGTCAATGCAAATTTGCGGCATGCATAATGTAATAATAAAAGAGCTCTCTGCGAGCATTGAATCAAACGCTCACCGATGATGATATTGATGATGTCCCGTTGCATCCAACTAGATCCACCAGTGTCCGTCCATCTCCGCTGCCGCTCTTCATGTCGCGCAGCATCCATCTTGCAGCGCGTCCCACGTTGATTGCTACACTTTCGCCAGATTTCCGCGACGCGGTCGATACTTGTATTAGAGCGGCGATATTTGCGTCAATTAACGAACGTTTCACGTCGACATCGATGGAAACTTTTTACGCGCTGCGAAACGGACTTTATAAACTCGATCGGCGAGGAGCAAGAACCGTGTGTGAAAATTTATCGACTCATCCGATGGATTTTTACAGCGCCTTTCGCGATCGCGTCTGAAAAGTCGCGAAAATGCGGGAATATCGGTATCTACGAGAATATTCGCGAATGCACGCGAGGAAGGATTAGACAATCGGAAACCGGTCACTCCGAGGGAGCGCAAAGAGAGAGAGAGAGAGAGAGAGGGGGGTAAAGTTTTCACGCATGATAGTTCCGTCACGACGTTCGCGATACTTTGGCGAAATGAGAATTTAAGCTTTCTTTGTTAGCGCGGTAAAAACGCGTATATTGATAACTGCGTCGCGATATTCAAAAGCACGCGAGCGAGGATACCTCAAGCTCGGCGTGCGCTGACGCAATTTCTGCGCGCATTATATTTATATTTATACGCTACTCGAGACAATAGGGATCGTGATAAATAGACAATATTGCCAAATAATTCTACAGCCTGTTTTGGAAATAAAAGAAAAGTAGCCAACGGTATCGGCATTTATGCGTATGAATATATTTTACACGGACAATTGAATATTGTCAAATAATTTTCGTTAAATAATTTTGCGGCCCGCTTGAAAAACGAAAATGAAGCAGCTGATGACGGTATCGCGTTTGTAAATATGAATATCTCTTATTCAGATGACTGGCAAAAGAAAATCATTCGGTATTTTAAATCTCTCGTATATAATGCAGGCCTATCGATGAAGTAATCCCCTGATTGTTTCGAGCAATGTATTTTATTCAACGTCACAAACACACACATGCAAGAATCTATTTGCAATTCGCATTGACTCGAACGATATTTTTTAGTCCCACATCCGTCATGCAGAATTTTGTTTCCCTTTTCATTTTGACTCACCGAAACGACTTGCAGTCAGAGCCGGCCACGTTCCGCTTCAACTCTGTAACAAAAAATTCACATTCGCTCATCAGATTTGACCAACGAGTACGGGCGAGTAAAAGAGTAGTTTACCCTCTGCGATCGTAATTCAACTCGAGCCGGAAATTATATCCCACAGCTCTAGATCGCCAAACAGAGGACTATAATAAACTTGGGTCAAACAGAGGACTATAATAAACTTGTAGTAAACTTACCTTCAAGCCGACTCTGCTTGGCCCGAATCGGATCCTCCGATGCGGCATCCGCATCCGCCGGATTGCTGTTGCTTTCCGCAACAACTGAAACAGAAAAATAGTTTTTCCAGTTGATAATCTGCAGTAGAGAGAGAGAATATCTTTGATCGGGACGAATCGAAAATACGGATATATTTTGATACGGAATTTTTATCTTTATATTGGTGTTCCAACATTGAATATTTCAATGAGACTTTAAGCTTTCAAGAGAGCTGATGAGGAACAAGTTGCAAAGGCAAAAGATCGTAAAGGATTGAACACAGATGTGTAGGAAACTTGTAAACTTTACCTTCCGACCGACTCTCCTTGGCCCGAACCGGATCCTCCGGTACGGCATCCGCATCCGCCGGATTGTTGTTGCTTTCCGCAATAACTGAAACAGAAAAGTAGTTGTCCCAGTTGATAATCTGCGGTAGAGAGAGAATATCTTTCATCGAGACGAATCGAAGATACGGAAATATTTTGATATGGGATTTTCATCTTTAAATTTTTGTTCCAACATTGAAAATTTAAATGAGACATGAAGCTTTCAAGAGAGCTGATGAGGAACAAGTTGCAAAGGCAAAGATTGTAAAGAGTTGAACACAGATGTGTAGGAAACTTGTAAATTTTACCTTCCGGCCGACCCTGCTCTGCCCGAACCGGATCTTCCGGTGCGCCATCCGCGTCCGCCAGATTTGCTTCCCGCAACGTCTGGAACAAAAATTTAGCGTTCTTGGTTGGTAAGCTGCGGTAGAGAAAGAATGTTTGGTTGGGATGAGTGGAGAATATTCGCTACGGTTTTTTTTCTTCATTGACATTGAAAGTCTAGATACAACTTGGAGCTCTTGAAAGAGCTGACGAAAAAAGATGACAACAAGAAGCGGAGACAACAGTTGTATGCTCTCGAAAATACTCTTTTACGAATGGACAGTTAAATTTAGATCCCGTAACGAGAATAAATAGACTTGAAAGAAGCGCTGACCGAAAGCAAAAAAGGTCGCAGTCTAAGAAGCGGTATGACGTTGAATATTCTACACAAGACCGGTATACTCACACAATTGGGAATTATTCAGAATGTTTTTGATTGAGAATATGAATTAGAAATCCGCGTTCATGGACCGTTATCCGTCTCTCTGTCTGGATCAATATCTTTTGTATACAACAATGCAATAAATAGATAGACAGACAGAGATTGACGAGAGTAATTGCAAATTCATAAAGTGATGATTACTAGTCGGATGATGACGGATTGTGAATGCCGAGCGCGAAATTCCGACTTCTTATTCCCGGAAAATTCGTCAAATGTCCGCTCTCGTTGTGGGAGACTTCCCGCATAATAAATGATTCCACATACCTGGAAATGTGACGTATCGCTGCCGGCGTCCTGCTTCCCGGCTGCTGGAAATCCTTCGGATTTCACTCGCTCACATTTCTAATGTCGATACTCGCGATTCGACCGTGCGGTTAATCAACGCGAAGCCGACGCGATGCCGATTGAGTATCTCGAGGACCGACGAGATACATTTCTTTCAATTACACGAGACGGCAGTGACGAGCGCGTCGCGCACGGCTGCTGCTGATGGAATGAGATCGAGTACGCGAGACGCGCGAGGATTAATACGAAGGGCAAAAAGTCGTCGCTCGCGAGCCAATCAACACAATCGGCGCGATGTAAACATTGCGAGCCTCGGCGGCGATTGAAGCAAGAGAGACTTGCCCTTGGGCGTCTTTTCTTTTCTCGAAGGTTCCGGAACGACGAGGGGAATGCGAGGAGACCTTTCAACTGTACGCGACATTGATGTACTCTTTTTTTTTCCATTACTGAAAATAAAGAAAATTACTCCGTCGAAGCATCGGACATTTGTTAGCTTTATGTTAATTAAAGAGGAATGTGTACGATTAGAAAATGTGTTAGCAACTAATTGTACAGAGTGTCAAAGTTGTTGTGACGCCGTCTTCGGAGAATAATTAAAGGTCACGGTAGCGTTAAAGAGTGGAATTTCGTCCCACGCGAATTTTGTCGTTCTTATTAAATGTTAGATTATCCGCTACGGACAATAACTTTTCTACTTT